GGCCCTTGCTGCAGGTCGGGCGAGGAAGGAGGCGGCTGGCGCGGGGCCGGCGCTCGGCGCTGCGGGCTCCGGGGCAAAGTCCAGCGAGCTGGAGCGCCTGCTGGAGATCTCGCCGCGTCCGAAACGCCAGCGCGCGGCTCTGCTGCCCGACGGCCCGGCCTGGGGGTAACTGGCTGCAGTCCGGCACGTGCCCGGGGGTCGCCCCTCGCTCCCCAGGGGGACGCTTGCGGAGGGATGTGAGCGCAGAAGTGTGCGGACAAGGACGTGGGGGCGGAGGTGGTTGCACCGGCCCAGGGATGGCCCCGCAGCGGGCACTGGCCCAGTGGCTGGGAGAGCCCCCCGGGAAGCCCGTGCTCCTGGCAGGCTGACGGGTCACCCCTGTTCCATGTCCCTCAGGGACATCTCGGGGGTGAACTACCCACGTCAGCCCCCAGTGCCCCCAGTATGCCTTGCTAGGGTCTACTTGGGGCTCCCTGGTACTGCCGTCCCCCGAGCCACCCTCTCTTCTCTCCTGCATCCGGCTGGCGGATGGGGTTTGGACTTGCTGCCGTAGGGCAGGGTGGTGGGCTCTGGCACTGGCACAGGGGATGCTGCTCTGGCAGTCAGGACTCCCGGGTTCCTGGCTGTACACCCTTCATCTCTGCCCTCAGTCGACCCAGGCTGTGGAGCAGGGCTGTCTGCCTCCGCGTGTCTCTGCAACCCCTGGCACCACGGCTGGGGCTGGAAAAGCAGGATTCTGCATTGCCCAGAAAGAAAAGAAAAAAGGTTGAAGGTTTTGCACTTTGGTTTTGAAACCAGATGGGCAACCTGTGGGAGGCTTTTGTTTCCAGACCCCTAGCAAGGGGGCATCTGCCCCAGAACGGCCCCTGCGCCGGGGTGCGGGGCCCTCGCTGGGGCTAGGGCAGGCATAGTTCGAGTTCCCGCTCGGGCGGATTGGGGACAAGGGCTCAAATGTGGGTTTCTGTCGTGTCAGATGTGCCCGGCAGGCACCAAGCCACTTCCGGTCTCGGCAGGGCCTCTGTGCCCAGAAATCCCCCCTCCTTCCTCCTCCGAGCCCAGGAGCCCTTCCCTAGAGAAGCTGAACCCAAACCAGGGTGTTGTGCTGGGAAAAGCCTTGTTTTTGCTGAATCGGAGGGTTGCATGGAAACCTCCCCAAAGCCTCGTGCGGGGAGGGAGGTAAACAGGGAACCGGCTGGGGGAAGTCGAGGGCTTGGAGATGGGTGCGACCTGCTTGTGTTTTTCTGTCCTGGCGAGGGAGGGAATGGGCAGGCAGCCAGGCTGGGGCGGGAAGGCGAGGAGGAGGAGGGAGGGAGCCTTGCAGCCACCAAGGTGGGAGCCGGGGCAGGAGTGTGGGGCAGTCTCCTCCCGCAGGCCCAGGCTTCAGCGACAGGGGATCCCGGCACCGTGGAAGTGGGTGAGGGGCTCCGCGGGGTCAGGGCTGGGATTAGGGGTGGGTGCCAGGAGCCTCTCGCAGGCCCAGCTGATGCAGCACCGAGGGTCCCCGGCAGTGCCCAGTGGGGGTGGGTCCATTTTTTGGACCCCTACCCCTAGCAGTTGGCAGAGGGAGCAGACGTGAGCAGGTACCCCTGCCTGTTGGCATGCTCACAGAGCCAGGGCCAGCAACAACACTCCAGGACTCAGCCCTTTCATCTTTTTATTCCTTCCTCCTCGTTTGATTTTCAGCAATTTAGTGATTTTTTTTTTTTTTTTTTGCAAGCTCTCTTCCTTGCTTGCTGCTTTTCTTCCAACTTCAGAAGTGGTTCGGGCGCTCGAGGGGGCGGTTTGGGCACTGCGCCTCATAGCTGAGCGCAGGCCTGTTGTGTAGTGTCAGGACTAGGTCAGGTGAGGACGTGTCCGGGGTGGTTTGGACGGGGACGGTCCAGCCTCAGACAAGGGGTCGGGGTGGATGTGCCCACCCCCGTTGGTCTTTGATGCTGTGTACATGAAAACTTCCACTGGGGGTTCAACCCGTAAAACAAGACAGACCCCTCCTGGCCAGATGTACCGGCTGATCTGCCCCAGCGTGAGATTTTTAATTGGAATAAAACAGTCGGGGTCTTCCCATCAGCAGGATTTGAAACCACCTGATGCGGCTGCAGCAAGGACGCGCGGGGGGCGCAGGCGCGCTTTGAGGCTGTCTTGATTCCTCCTTCTTATCTGTTGTTCAGGTTTGTTCCCGGGGCAGGTTGGTGCTGCTGGGGGTGGCATGGGGACCCAGCCCCCCAGGCTTCTGGGTCTGGTTTGGCCCTGCCCTGCTCTGTGCCTCAGTTTCCCCATTGGCAGATTGCAGGGAGAGTGATCTCTCTCCGGGGAGCACCGGGTGAGAGCGAGCGAAGGATTCTCGATGGCGCCGATGGGGCGCGGCGTGGGGACAGAGTCCCTCCAGTAGGCACGCACCTTGACCTGGGCAGCTCAGGCGGGCACGGCACCTTACAGTGTCCTTAACCAACACGGGAAACCACCTCCGTGTTCCCACGTGCACTGCGCTTGCGCAAGGCAAAAGTGCCTCCCATGCCGGGGCCCCTGCGGCAGCGCCTGTCGATACCGCTGTGATTGTTTCCCGGTTCTCCGGGGACGGCTGCCTCGTGGCTCCTCTCTCTGGCTGGGACCTTCCGGGGTGACGTGCCCCGGACCTCCCTGGAGATCAGGGGCAGGGTGAGACGCCTGCCTCACCGCCTGTTTGTGATTCCACCTAGGCTCGGCATCGCCCGCATCCCTGGTCCCCGGCGCTGAGTGCCTGCCGCGTGCTACGCCATGTACAGCAAGAAGTCCTACGACGGCGCGCCCATTGCCTACGGCCCCCCGGGCGATGAGTACGGCTACGATGCCCAGTCGCCGCCCCCCGGCTCCTACTACATTGAGGACGTGCCCCAGCACTTCTACAAGTGGAGCTCGCCGCCCGGCGTGGTGCGGGTGCTGGAGGCCATGGCCATCCTGCTCTGCGTCGCCATCTTCGCCTGCGTGGCCTCCACCCTGGCCTGGGAGTACGGCCTGGGCTACGGCGGCTTGTACGGCAGCGGGATGGGCGGCTACTACGGCGGGACGGGCTACTACGGCGGGGCGATGGGCTACAGCGGCTACGGCGGGGGCTACGGCGGGGGCTACGGCGGCTACTACGGCGGGGTGACGAACCCGCGGGCGGCCAACGGGTTCATGATGGCCATGTCGGTGCTGTGCTTCCTGGCGCTGCTGGGGCTCTTCGTGGCCAGCCTCACCAAGGGCAGCGGGTCGCGGTCCCGCAAGTTCTACCTGGTGGTGATCGTGCTCTGCGCCATCCTGGCCTTCCTCATGCTCATCGCCTCCATCGTCTACATCATGGGCGTCAACCCGCAGGCCCAGATGTCGGGCAGCTACTCCTACAACCCCATGCTGACCATGTGCAACCAGATGTACGCCACCGGCGGCGCCTACCTCAACCAGTACATGTACCACTACTGCACCGTGGACCCCCAGGAGGTGAGCCCGGGTCCCTCCTTCCTTCCTCTTCTTCGTTTGATCCTTTCATGGTAGCCTGGAATAAGGAGAGGGAGCACTGGCCGAGGGGCCCTCTCTCTCCTTCAGTTGTGACCCCAAAGCGGGGGGTTTTCCCCACTGCTCTCTGTCCCCTTCTTTCTCTTTCCATCTTCCACCTGGATGGAAACAAAGCGGGATTTGTAGGAAAATGTAGCACCCCCCCCATTATTTATTTAGCTTGAGATTGTTGACCGCTGGGGTTGAGATTTCCCTGGTTCTCCCTGTTTCTCTCCCTCTGTCTGGGTCACTGATTTCCCTTTATCCCTTCCTGGTGCATCCATCTATGTCATCCCCTGTATTTGCATCTGCCGGGAGCCGGTTTCGGAGCCGGGGAGGGAGGAGTGGGACAGGCGACGGGATAAAAAAAACAAGCCAGGCTTTCTGGAGCCAGTTTCGGTCGGTGGTGGGGAGGGAGAGAAACAATCGGAGCAGGTGGGTGGGGCGGCTGGCACCGCCCCACGCCCAGCAGGACCGACTGGCCCCGCCGCATTCCTGAGCCAGGAGGAGCTGGGTCCTTTGCTGCTGCCCAGGCAGGGCCAAGGCCGGGGGGACCCATGCGGGGGCTTCCCCAGGGCCCCTTGCACTTACTCATCCTTGCTGGGAACCCTGGGTAATCACCCTTGCATGCATGCACGCACATGCACACTCACACACGTCGCGCCGGGAACAAGCTGTGTGCTTTTCGGCTGCTCCCTGCCACGTCGTCTGAGGGTGGCCGGTGGGTTTAGTGCATCACCGGGACTCCCGGGTTCTTTTCCTGGCTCTGGAGGAGTTTGGGCGTGCACGCACCTCTGTGCCTCAGTTTCCCCACACGTAGAACGAGCAACCCCCAGCTGCCTTGGGGGAACGTCACGTCTGTTTTGTGTCCTGGCCCTGGCCCTCGGCCCGTATGCCTCAAAGCTGGGTTTGTTGCTGACCTCTGAGAGGGAAGAGGTACGAGTGGGTGTTTCCCAGGGGTCTGGGCAGCCCGCGCAG